ATTTAAAATTACATAAATTAAATTAAATTAAATTAGAAACGAAGTAAAGTTAAATCTATTTCACCTAACTCCTTTACGACTAACTAAACGATTTTTAAAGATTGATATTTCTAGAAGAAAAAAAAAGGCAAGACCGCGTCTGTAGGGTTTTAAAGTTTCGTTCGATTAATCCTTACGAGGTCCGTTGCACGTTCGAGACTTTTAAGGCGGGCCGGGTTTTCAGGTGAAATATTTGGGGTCTCATGATGCAAGAGGCCTCTGGGGCATCAAGCACACGAGAAGGCCCGTCGATAATATGGTCTCTGCTGCGAAGGCTTTGCCGACCAACACAATGCTTTCTCTCATCAAGCTGGTGGTCTCTCAGGAGGGAGTCGCCTTGCTGCCGCTGGACAAGAGGAAGCAGGACGCCAACTTATCCAGAATGTATCCTATCGAGACGATCTCGTACGGAGTGCAGGATCTTGTTTACACCAGGGTCTTCTCCATGATCGTCGTTCGTGAGACGGAGAACTTTAGGAGAATCTCACCGTTCGAATGTCACGGTTTTGTATGTGAGTCCAAGTACTACGCGAGGCAATTGACGTATGCTCTCGCCGCAGCCTTCGAGGTTTACTCCAAAACCGTAAAAGCTCAGGAAAAATTGACCGGTGTCACTCGGAACACTGCCAGGAAAAAATTCGCGATCGATTTAAGGAGTCCCGAGGAGATCGAGGCGGATCTTACGATGGATTCCGAAGCGTAACTTTCAAAATCTATTGTTGTTTATTAAATTAGGATGTAAGTAGATATTAATCTTTAATCAGAAAAATTTAGAAGAGAAGAGAGAGGAGATTTTTCGGTTTATTTGAAGAAACTATAAACAACTAACGATGAGCATAATTCATTCAAAATTTATTTTATATGTAAAAAAATGTTTTCTTGAAAAGGACGATACAGGGTAGAAATTGTAATTGTAGGTCTATAAAAACGTATAACTGCATCTTACAACAAAGAAATGCATTCGTGTACTAAATCAGATATTTTCAATTTTCCACATTTTCATTTTTCTTTATAGTTTTTATAAACGTTGTCATACATAATGTTGTTTAAACTTAAAGAGAAATATGTATTTTTTACATAAAGATAAAAGACTTAATTATTGATATAAGGAAAAAGGCAGTTAATATACTTCGATTGTATAAAAATAGATTTATTAAAATACATTTAATAAATATACAAGCTTAAAATAAATATGTTTATGTAAGTTGCAGATACAATCATAATCATTAAATTGAATAAGTAATTATTTTTTATTAATATTGCGAATGCAACATATTTCTATCATATTTTCGTAAACAGATGATTTTCCGAGTTATGAAATATATATTTTTTAATACACAGTTTTTACAATAATATATACAAATCAAGAATATAGAGTTTTAATCTAGATTTACATATGCATTTAACATTGAAAATTACATCTATGCGTATATGCATTACAAATTGGTGCCCGATTCGAAAATGGAGATAATATCAGAATGTTGTTATATGAATATGTGTGTTTGTATAATTGTTGTATGTTTTTTATTATTTTATCGGCATTACGAAAAGTTAGATAGGTCTCGACTATCCGAGACATGATAGCTAGCTATCCAAAGATATCGAGTAGAAAACAATGGAACGCGAGAGTTGTGGATGATGTTTTAAACGTCGCGACTTGTGCGATTTCACAAAAATTTTACGATAATTGACGAATCGGACAATGATTTCGGATTTATTTCTAGCCGTCTTACGTGTGCGTGTGTGTTTCTAGTTTAAGTCATTAGTTTTTAAAAATATATAATATTTTAACATTGGCAAAACTTATAATAGAGAACGTATTGTTATTTTATCGACTTTTTATATTTTTTAAGTTGTTTTATATTAAGATCAAAGACAAAAAGACCAATCGATACATATCAGTCACTGTAAATAGCTAAACGATATTATTCCTTTATTGCCGTGTACATAATGCTTCATTATTTAATCAGTAAATTTCTTTTTTGAGTCTTTTTCACTACGCTTGCGAGATTATCGCGTCACGATTTTTAAATATTTTAGGCTTGGGACAATCGTGTAACGTTTTTCCTTGTGTAATCGTGGCCTTGTGCTTTAGCTATCAATATTAAATATTGTATATTTTACCTGTATTTATATTATTAGTTATAAAAAATATTTATAAGATTCTTACCTCGACGTATACAAAAAACCTCTCTTTAATAATAATTATATCTGTTGTTTACCATTATTTTTTTTCACGAATGCAACGAGTTAAATGAAATTGTCTTTTTTAATTATTTTTTTTCTTTTATTTTAATTGGCGAATAATTACATGAGCCTAATATATTTTTGCACATAATTACATAGTATAGTTATGTTTTATTCGTATCTCATTGGCACTGTACAGAACTTTATATAATTTTAATCGTTTAATTAATTTTACTACGTGTCGCATAATTGTGTGAGATGAAATATTTTACGTCGTATGCATAATAATTTAAATTTTAGTTCTACGCACTCTACTTGCCGTTATGGGGGCTCTTGCGAGGCAAGCCTGTAAGCAATCTATAAGCGATTATCTTAAACACTAAATGAGCGTTTAGTCAACCTCGATCAGGCAAGTTAAAATTCTTTTTATACTTAAAAGCCAAGAATATTGGCTAGCTAATCACTATATTTTATAGAGCAATCTCTTTCAAATTACCCGTGAAAAAAAAGGGATATATTTCTTTTAATGAGGCTGAAACAACCAGTCTTGACTTAGTGATCTCGAATTTTTTAATGGTGATTTTTTCGACACCGTTTCGACTTCAGATTCGACGATCTTCGTTGCATTTTTCTTCCCCCGGTGCTGATCTGCCTCCTCCTCCTCTTCCACCTCTTTTCCGATCTCCTCATTCAAAGCGTAATATTTTTCCGATTCTTCGCACGGGATCGAGCTTTCCGTTTGTGTGCACACGAATGTTGCCTGCAAACAAATTGGAAATTCTGATTTAAGTTAAGCTAGAAATAAATTATCTCTATATTTGATGTTGATATGCTTTTTGATTTTTTTAAAAAAAGATATGTTCAAATCGAAGAACGTGAAGAATTGAAACGTGAGAGTGAAAAGAATGAAATGTCAGTTTACCTGATTGAAAACTGTCTCGGCGGGGCAGATGAAGCTCCATCTAATCGAGCCTCTCGTTTGCGGCATGCACACGTGAAATACTTGACATTCGTTCTCCATATCGGCGTAATAACCGTAAATCCTGTTCTGACACGAAAACGTGTCGACGATGTTGTCGCGAATGAGCGTCGCGTTGTCGGGCAGCAGCAAGCCACCGGTTTTGTTTTGCTGAAAGATTTGATTAGAAAATTCGATTATTGTCAATTCGTCGAGACGAACGAGAATACGAGATGCGAGAAAGGTATCTCTAAAGAAAACCTTAAATACTGGAATAGGCCTTTTAGATTTCGGGGGCTGCTGGGGCAAACTTAGAGTTATCGCTAGAAGACCAAACAGCAGCGCGGTGATGATGAGCTTCTCTCGCATCATGATTTTAAGAGAGATTTTAAGAGATGTACACGTGTCTTTCTGTTCTGTCTCTTCGGCGGTCGCTGCGGTTGATTTCTCGACAAATGTGACGTTTTATTGTAGCACTCTGTCCGAGGATCTTGAGAAGACTGATGATGATGTGATTCGCAGAAGGGTGTTATATAGTGGACCGCGTGTAAAGATCTTGAATATTGTATGAATGGCCGATTCTTGGTACATTGAAATCAGTAAATCTATCACGTTTGGTCTGCCAATGACCATCGTCAGACGTCCACATCATTCTCGAAGGCCCGATGCAAATGCTGCTGTTGATTATGTACTTATTTGGCAACTTTATTTATTTTATTTTTCAAAGAACGACGATTCTTAGCCCAGATTCCAGTTCCCTTTAAGTGCATTATATTTGGGAGAAATAATTAATTTTTTTAATTCATTGGCTCAGAGTCGTTTATTTGTAATCAGTTATCTAATTCATTGACCCTAATTTAACCCGCGTATTGAATTCTCAGACATAGTTTGCTGATACGATATTATAAATATAAACAAATTTGGTGCATTTTTAAACTCGCGAATATTTTCCTTGATCATTGTATTTTAAATTAGAAAATTACAAATACGAAATACGATACGTCAGCAAGTTAACAACGATAACTGATTGACAATTGAAGATATTAACAGTCAGAGAGGTCCTTCTGCCGGGAAAGGATTCTTTCTAAAAGGAGTGCGTTGAATTGTCTATGAGGATCCCTCAAGAAAACGCACAGTTTCGAAGGCCGGATATAAATCACGCGTCACGAGAACGAACACGTGCCGAAATCCTTTGAACGTGAAGATTCAAATTTCTTCTTTCGATCGTAACTCTTCGGTCTCACAGACTTACTCTCCACACCGCATCGTTGCCTATTTTATCCTCAAATACGATACTTTAGTTTCATGCCGCGACTGGCTGCGTTCCAATTGAACGCTTCGGGATGTCTCTTGCGCGAATTCGGTCGTCGAAATTCGAGGGCAGTCCCAGTCGGGCCTTATCTTCGTTAAGGCCGCGTCACGAATGGCATTTCTTCGGGATGTGAATACTTAATATTGCCGACGGGATAAGTATATCCGATTATATATACGATTACGAAATTGCGCTTACCTTCGGTTATCGGCAATAAGCATCGAGAAAATGTCCTCATGTAATCGGTTAATGGATAATCCTTTTAATGAAGAGTACAGTGTAGTTATTCGATAACAGAGGAAATTTTTATTATATAATCGATTAATGTTATTAATCTATTAAGATCTTTGTTAGTTGTTTGAATTAATAACATAAGAATATACATAAAGTTCTTGCAAAATACTTTGCAGTTCTTGCAAAATAATTAAATTGCATCGCAAATTGCTTTCATTTTTGATTAAATGTAAATATATGTTTTTATTTATTGATTATTGAAAAAAAGAGACATTTTCGATCAATTTTATCAATCTGTTCTACCGATCGCAATTATTTTATGAAAAAATTCTATTTTATTATGTTCTAATGAATTTTCATATTTCCTTGTTTCAACATCATAATTCAAGCTGTAATAAATCAATAGGGGTCTTGGGTAAAAGAAAGTTGTATAAAAAGATATAGATTATATTACAAACTATCAATAAAATTAA